TTTGCTCCTAGTAGCGTCCTTGCTCCTAGTAGTAAGGCCAGGAGCTAGTAGCTCCTATTTACATATCATTGGACACTTATTTTCTTCACACAGACTGCATAAAGACCTTCTTCGCAGTTTGATGGCACAGGACCAAGCCCTCTGCAACCCTTCGGCCAGTCCTGCAGGATCCAAGTCAGAGAGCTGACAAATCGCAGGGGCCTTGGATGGAGCTGGGCAGTGAGTGAAGTGTTTTGGTTAGGCCTCCAGCTCGAGACGGTTCTGCGTGGTTCATAAATAACTGGTGTCCACAATCCGGAATGATTGGTCAACGGAAATGCTTAAGCTCTACAAACATGATGACTGAAATTGCTTTGCCAAGGGTCGTTGCTTCTGAAATTTGGTTGAAAATGGATCTCGGCTTCCAAAGGCCACACAAAATTGTTGACAATGTTGCGGAATATCAATCAATATCAAATACATCTTGCGAATTCTACTGATCCATTGAAACAAAACTGGACATTCAATGCAGCATGCAGTGCAAAGAGTTTGCCAGGATACTCGGTCGTTACAGGCACGACGGTTCGATTCAGGTGCCAAGCCTCAGCCAAGTTCCACAATACAAACTGAGGAAACTCACTGCCCAATTCTTTCAACAAAGCGACTCCGTCCAATGCAAATTCACATTTAGTTGAGATTTCAAAAATATTTCCAGATTGAACTGCGGCCATCTGGCAAAGGCAGCTCATCATTGCATTGCCCTCTGGACATGTAGCTTTGCTGTTGAAACCTTGGCATTGAGAACGTGCAACAAACAAAATGTGTAGCGGCACACAAGCGAAACCTTAATGAAGGACATGTTTGGTGAATATGTCGAATGAAGGATCAGTGCACTCCCATTCATCAGTCTTTGTCGTCATATTGTTGCTCAACCCTGCAGCATGCCGACATACTTTGGCCGAAAGTCTGTCATTTTCTGGAAAATAGCTGAACGTTCGCAGTCGTCGAGTGCAAAAAGCCTGCACAGCGACTCGCAACTCGCCACGCTGCATTCGTTGGGCCTTCCCATTCCACTCGCTGCATGCTGTACCTCTAAGTATCTCATTCTCACACTCCAGGCCTGCAAGGTCAAAGCCTTGGGATCACAGTAGGTGCATGGGCAAACTTCATCAATGTGCACATGCCCTGGAGCATCTCGGTGGTTTAGTGCCACAATGCAATCTCCGCACACGACACACTTCGACACTGGTTTCCGTTAAAGCTCAATCTCTCTGCTGGGAAGGAAGGTGGTGGAACAGCATGGCGAAAGGTCCGAGAAAATTGTAGATGTTTGAACAAATTGTTTCTCTTGAAGCGGCTCTAGCTGCAGCGCTGCTGGGGAGGAACTGGTTTAGGGGGAGAAAACATGAAGGACCATGAAGCAAAACGCGGAAGAGTGGTGTGACAGCTTGTGAAAGAACGAGCAGGTACGTCCAGCTGGCCAAGCTGGATATCCCATTTCACTGGTAGCTTCGTTGGACACAGTCCCAGTGAAATGCTGTGTCCCCCTGCCTTGGAAGACCCTTTGTCCAGGGGTGGACACACACACAGAGCCGTTTTCGGCGCGGTCAAAGTAGTAGTAAGGCCAGGGGCCTCCAGTAGCGTCCTAACTCCCAGGGGAACATTTGTACAAAAAGCGCCAAATTGTTGGCGCAACGAAGAACTAGTAGACACCTAAAAAGCCTGGGAAAGACAGAAAAAGCAACGAAACAAGAGCAGACTAAGAGGGCAAGAAAGAAAAGTAGGGTAGTTACGAGGCCCACTTAGTTAAACGAAAGTAGAAGGCGAGCGGGACATTCGTCTTAAACCGCCCGGGTAGCTAGCAATAGCTAGGAGAAACAGAAGGAAAGGCACCAACACACAAGTGTGTTGAGTGCGATTTCCTTCTGTTTCCCGAGTAGCGGGTGGGATAGCAACGAAGGCCTGGGGGTAGGGAGGGGGGGGGGG